TAATGTGCTTTCTCTAGATCTATACCAATCCATAACCACTGGGTAAGGTAGGATCACCTGATGACTTGACCTCGTGATCGTCTTCGCCATTTTCATTGCATTGCAGCAGCAACGGCACGCCATTCGCTTGGACATTGTTCACAACGTCCACATCTGCTTTCGTTTTCTGTCTCATAAAATCGATTTTGATTGTTGAGCTGTACTCACATAAGCGATATTTGTGTAATACCTTGGATTTTCATTTACTGTCAGTTCTTTCTGGACTGGTAAAGTTCTATATGAAATGGAACCACAAGTATGCTGAGTTATGAGTGAAACTCGGGACCTCAAACTGGTTTTGAACTCGCGATTACCCTTACCGGGGCTCACACCGAGGCTACTGCTTTGCTTTTCTCTTACCCTTCTTTTTACACTCTAGCCCGTACTCTACCATGAAGAAAGAGTAGGCACTAAGCAGAAAGTCAAAAAATTGTGATTTTGACTGGAGCTTCAGCTTAAATGGTTTGTGCTGATTTGTACTACCCAGATCGTATTCATCGACGGTTGACCGCTAATAGTTCCGCTAACGTAAGAAAAGTGGCTGAGAGGAAAGCAATACAAGAGCTTTGGTCGATGTGTTGAACAGCACATCAGCCCTTGTTAAGGGTAATTTTGGGTTCAAAACCCATAAGGTATACCGACTTTTCATATTTCAATATTCTTATAGTTATATTTGAATAACGGTACTTTATATCTCGTATGTTCATTGTAGAAGCCTCCATATTATTGTTAGGGCAATTCTTTAAGCTTTTTGTTTACTGGTACCTTACCATTTAATCTGTTGTGAATCTACCTATGAACTCCATTTGGTGACTCCCAAGATCGATTTTTTAACCCGAGTACTAATCAATTATTCACGATTTAATTAGTGACCAAATTGTATACGACATTGCAATTAAAAAATATTGATCGACTGACTGTTGTTAATATTGATTGTCCATAGACAAAACCTTGTTCTGCTCGACACATTCTCTCCTGACAGTAGTCGTTACCATTATCAGCTAACACAGAGCGTAACGATAATTGAAAAATCGAGTTTCCTTAAACCTCTGCTTGACTAATGAAAATATGTATTCTTACGAACTGCCCTTGTTAAGCTTGTATGAGATTTCTATAAGTTGTCGTTGCTATTGTTGTTGTTGGCATTGGTGTTGGTGGATGGATAACGGTTCGGCCACCTCACCTTCCTTACAGTGTGCTGTTGCATGTGGAACTCGATTATTTATGCCGATGTTTATAGAAAGTCGGTCCTTTGTGTTAATCAATATGCATTTTCTCCACACTTGTCGTTTTGTTCCTTATAAGCCTTCCACTTATTTGGTAAGGACCAGTCGCACAGAGTTATTACATAGGCGAGTAATGTGTTTACCTCAGGTTAAAAAATCAGCGTGAGGTATGATGGGAGGTCACCCGTGAAACACAAGGCACTCCTCCTTCCGGTCCATTTTTAGCTGGGATTTATCTAAAACACTTCAAGAGTTCTACGCGCTTATGTTTTCGATTCTTGTGTGATAGTTACTTTTGCTCCATAATCTTCTCTGTTATATCCGTGTCGTGTGCGCGCCTAGTGAAGTATTTGGTATAACGTTAAATTTACTGGCCGCGCGTTCTTCTATATGGTCGTGCTGTGATCTACCTGCTTCGTCAATGTGTTCTTTCCCACGCGCTTTATAAGAGATAAGGTAAAGCGTACCCGAATTCATGCAATCACTGTCTCTACTGTTAGGGCATATTATGCAATTTTATGTTGTACAAAGCCGGTCGTACAGACGGTTGTGAACTGACTTGCGTCTTAAAGTACTCGATGGTATTTCTGTCACTGTTACCGAATTAATTCCGAAAGCAACTTTTCTTGTCACGATCCTCGCACGCGAATCAAGAACGCAGGCGCGAAAAACTCTCAAGGCACTCTGGATTAATTCCAGAAATCCGAAAATGAACCGCAGGGAAGAATGCCTCATTATCACGTGTGATATTGGACAGTATATAAAACTGCTTTTCTGATGTGAGGGGCACATTATACTTCTATGTGATTTCTGTACGGTTGGTCTCTACGTGACATACTTAGTGGAAACCTCATAGGAAGCGGTGAGTGTGCAAAGCTGTGTTCAAAGTGATTGAAATCTTGGTTTGGAGTTTCTTTGTTTGGTTATGGAGGCGTCTGGCCGAGTAGATTGCTATCAACTTGACCCTTCCAGGCTCTGAGGAAGGCGAAATCCGCCGAAACGTCAGCTTATTCGTGAATAAAGAATAATAACACCTCGCGTTTGCTGAACAAAAATACGAAGAAAATTACTTGATCAATGCCGAGGTTAATAGAAAGTCGGTCGTGGCAGCTACTCCGAAAGCAACATTTCATAGCTGCACTTACTACGTTGAAAATGAAAGGCAGGATTAATGAGACCTTATTTTCGCTAAAGTTATCGTTTGGGGTCTTAGTTTTTCCTCTATATCTTCCCAGAAGAGGAACTACAATCATTTGCTGCGCCAATTTCAGAGATTGTTTCTTCTGCTCTATTCCTGCCCACAAACGGATGGCTATTTGGAATATGTTTCTTATGGGCGTGCTTTTTCTGTGTGAAGGGTGATAACAGAGCCAATGAACCAACATATTTTTATTACAATTTCTTCAGGAACAATACCTCCTTTTATCAACCACTCTTGGAGTATCCGGAAATGACGAAATCGACGTTTCAAACAAACAAATAGAGGAATAAAGAGATTGCGTCTTTTGCCGAAGTTCTGAAAGGTGTTTCTTCTGTGACTCTGCAGCTGCATTTCGATAAGTAGCGGCAATTTCAGCAAGTTGCGCACGAATTTTCTCATCTACCTTAGGTCCTATCCGTTACACCTTGCAGAACTTCGGCAAAAGACGCAATCTCTTTATTCCTCTATTTGTTTGTTTGAAACGTCGATTTCGTCATTTCCGGATACTCAAAGAGTGGTTGATAAAAGGAAGTATTGTTTCTGAAGAAATTGTAATAGACATAGCAGAACGGATAGGACCTAAGGTAGATGAGAAAATTCGTGCGCGACTTATCGAAATGCAGCTGCAGAGTCACAGAAGAAACACCGTGCAGAACTTCGGCAAAAGACACAATCTTTTTATTCCTCTATTTGTTTGCTTGAAACGTCGATTTCGTCATTTCCGGATACTCCAACATGTTTTTGTTATTTGGCTGTCGGTACCATATCGTGATGTAGCTGCCTTCGAGTTGGCTAATTTGAACGTTCAGAAATGGAAGCCATTTACCTCGGTTTCTCTTCATTAAATGTTATATGTTGTGGCTATTCGTTCAATAACTCTAAATATTTCTCCATCTCTGGTCGTTGAAGGACTCCATTACTTACGTACTGCTAGGACGAGCGTTACGTAGATGACCCAGGAACATTCGGGTTTCTAGAGATGTGCTGGGTTGTGTTTCAGCAGCTGGATGGGAATTAGTTCCATAAACCAAGATGTTTATCCGTCGGCCCGTCTATATAACGTCTATGGTGTACCTCATCTCTTGTAAAACGTGCAGGGATGAATATATTGGTGCAAAGGATGGATCATTGGGCGTCCATATCGTATAAAGGAACACCTAGTCAGTAAATGTACGGTTGTGTCGAATACTCTACCAGGCTAGCATATGGCACGGGTCATACGGGACAAGATTTTGATGTAAAAGTCACTATGCTCGCACAAGACTCCAAAACATCAGCGCTGATAACTTTCAAGGCGTTCCGTATAAATTCCAAGAATCCAAAAATGAACCGCAATGGGAGTGTCTCGTCATCACGCGTGACCTAGTGTTATACTCCCGCCTGATATTTTTAACTGAGTCAGGCACATTCCTCGCCCATGTAATATTGGGTTTGTTATCCACCAAATAACTGGAAGACTCACGAGGAATAAACGGTGAGTGTTCAAAAGAAGCTGTCTGTTGTGCGAATGAGAATTTACGTAGTAAGTTTTATCTTCTGAGGTTGTCAGAGTGTTTGGCTGAGTTGACTGCGTGTCTAAACACTGCACTCCACACCCCGCACACTACCTTGTACTGAAATTCAAATTCATTTACATATTTATGTGACACTACACATTTTGTGTGTGCCAGAACATCCATTCAGTGCGTTGTCTCGCATCCGTAATCCGCAATGATTTCCTACTTGTGTGTGGTTACGGTCACCATTTGAAGAATTTACCTTCATAACTATTGTTAAATTGTGGTCAAATTGATTTCGATGATATGGCTGGCTCTACTGCAAAGTCTACTAGAATGTCTTCAGACGTCCACGATAGCTTGTCGTAGAGCTCTGCTGATCTAGGAGTGGCAAAAGGGTTGAGTGGTTTGTGTGGGGTCGAATCCAATTCCGCTCATGTGTTTCACAAAACCCTAGCCATAGCGCTCCAGTTCCCGTTTATATATCGAACGGCTTTATGATACGGCTATTTTTGAGTCGGTCCCTATCTATCGGGGTGGGGTGGGTTAAGTATAATGTGAACCTGAAGCGAGACTGTTGACCAGTTGAGGACTTAGAAACGTGTGTGTATTCTTTTATATAATACATCTGTATGTCCTTCAAAATAACTACGTAGTGACAAGGCGGATCGCGCATAATTGGCTCCTATTCCCATCTATAGGTATTTCAGTCGTTCATTGCAAACACTCACAGTAGGTGCTTTGAGAAACTTTTTTTAACGTATTCTCATCTTCTATAATGCACTAACCAATCATTTCTAGTGGATTTCCATTTAAACGCTGCAATTTTTTAACTTTGCTACACCAGTAATATGGTCGTTTTAGAAGTTTTCGAAGAGAATTGATTATCGCGCTTGGTCTTCAAGCGATTTCAGAACTGTTTTTGCTGAGATATTCCCCTGAATCAAGGTGAAAGGTTTTGTTGAGATTTGTTCCCTTATTACAATATGTTTTAATTGTATTGGTATTCAGTTACGTCTTGAACGGTTTTGCTTTCAGATGATTATATCTGAGCTGCTACTGCTACTGTTATTACTAGTGTCATCTGCGAGCGCCAACTGTAACATATGCTCATTCCAGCACGATTATTACAACGATTCTCCTGAAGAGAGATCGGAAGACAGGGTGGTTAGGGTTTTTATGAAAGCTCGTATGATTTTCTGTTCCTAAACTCTGCTTATACACAAATACGTGATTGGTTTCCAGAATTCTAAACCTCGTATATATTCCGCGGATGCTATGGACCAGGCGTTAGTGACTTCATTAGCTCGGGTCTCCGAACTTGTAATTATTTATTATTTTAGCTCATGAAGCACACCATTTTCATAGTGAGTTCAGGCATCGTCTCTTTTCGGAAGCTTAGGAGAACTGACAAATCGGAGAAATTCACAGGTAAGCAGTTCTCTCCGCTGTCTTATCACAGTATTCTTTCTATACAAAAGGAAAAGTATCTTTCGTTAAGTACTGGTGTACAAACGATTTTAACAATCAGAGAGTACTACCTATCAAATACAGCCGTTCATTTTCGAGCGAACAATCTGTTACAGAGTTTCCTTGACCTTAATCACGTGAAGGTCGTCCTCTAAAACGAGTCGCCATGTAATTCGTTCAGATTTCATCCGATGATGTCCCCGCGCCACTGAGAACAAAAGTGACACCACCAAAATTAAGTCCAAACATGGAACAGGGTTCAAGTCAGGAGGTCACAAATCATCTCTTTAACATATTTGACAGAATTGGAAGCGGAATCATGCGCATTTCGCATTTGGATGGGTAAGTTGTCCAGTTCATTACGAATGCAGATAATCCCGAAGCGAATCTACAGGCCTCACATTTGTACCCGCGAAATCACAAGGAAAATACCACGGTCAAACAAGATTTCACGGAAATCGGAGAAAATCTGCCAGTGGTTCCGTGACGCAAGCAAGTGCACCGACAGGAGGACCAACGCGAAAGTGCGAACCATCGTTGCTTGAAGTGTTATATAAATGAAAATTTTTGTAGGGAATTGTTGAAACAACTCGAGTGGAGGAATGCTGTGAGGGATACGAAACACGAGATATATTTAAGCATGGATGTCCAATAGGTTAGTGAACATTAATCCAATGAAGAGATGCGAAAACTTAGAACAACAAGCTGCTCCAATTTAGGTTTACTGAGCACGAAAATTAGTAGACATGTGGTTATTTCCAGAGATACTTGATTATCAACCTAGATAAAGTAGTTTTTGGCTTGAATGCTCCACCTGTATCGCTTATTCCTCTAGTTATCCTTTTAATCATTGAGCTACTAGAACGGACACCAGTGAAATTTCCATTAATCCTTGTCGTGAACTAAAGATGCTTGGTAGATTGTGCTTGTTCAAGGCCTGCTGAGACGAGTAGAACATGGTATTGTGCCCTTTATTTCGACTCTACATAAGAATAGGACAGTAAGGTAGCCACTCTTACTTTTACAGCCTTTTTTTAGATAGCGTAGACCTGTTTTGAGCTGAGTTTCTGGATGGGAATATAGGAATTAAAAACGCCGTCTTATCATGGGTGGCGCTGTTGCGAGAATGCAGTTCTTGGTGAGGTGTTAAACGCTGGGGAGAAAGTTCAGTGATGCTTCATTATCGTTTGTTTTGGCTGTCTCATAACTTTTCTTGGATTCCTTCCAACACATCTGCATAGTTATTAAAGTGTCTACTGAACAGAAAAGTATAGCGGAGACTTTCCGCTACGAAAATGCATTGAAATGGATGCGTACACTCGCAAACATGCTAACGTTTTAAAAACCTTTTATAATTTATAGTACTTGTTTGCACATCTACCGTGCTTATCTCTACACTTCATGCATTCGATCTACTTTCTCGTACTGGTAAGGTAGATCCTACCTGGCGTCCTGGGTGGGACTGCCGGGCTAGGGAGTTCCCACTTGGATTATTCCTCAACGACTCTGGTACCAATTTCCCAACTCCGGATGGACGAGAGGCTCAGTGAGACTCGAGTTGGGTTCAACCGCCACCTTGCTCGTGATTGACGTCAGCACTACCATTGCACTCTACTACATGTTAACATTATCTTCAGTTATCGCTAACATAGAAGACATCGCTTAGAGTCGTGAATCGAAGAAGACCTTAACTAATACTGATTTGCAGTTAGCAGCGTACCAAAAACAATATTGAAGTGTCCACTAACTGTAGCTTTCAAAAAGATGACAGGACCATTTACGCCATAAGAACACTCTGAAATAGGAAAGTGACGAATGAAGAAGTTTCTTCAGTGCGTCCTGTTCACCTAACACTTAATTTCCTTTGATATAAGCGAGTTTTCAAAAAGAAAAACGCTGAACGACTTCGCGAATCGCTAGGCACGGTTAGTGTTGCGACATGATATAGACGTCTCTTTCTTCTTTTGAGATTAACATGAAAGTGTCAAACTTTTTGTTAGAACGACTGCTGCGAGTATTTCACAATTCTTGGATCGTCTATTTTCATATCTGGTCATCCTAGTAAATGGGCATAGGTTGAGCAGTTCCGCTTGCTCTTTGCAGTGAACTGGTCGATTGAAGAGCTCGGAGGTATTTTCCACAGACACTCACAGCACTTTCCACAAATGATTTTTTATTATATTAAGACATATAATGTAAGAAGAAAAAGCGGGAGTGGTGTTTGCCTGGATGAGTCTTCTGCTTAACGATGAAGTACAACTATCTCCTACCATAAGTGATTTTGCCAAAGAATTGGAACTCATGAGTAATTCGACGTTCAACACAATTGGTATATACTCCACGGTTGAAAGCCTTTGGGAATGTTAGCCAATCCATTGGCTATCATTACAATCTTCCACTGATAACTTCATAAATTTAGAACGCGAACCATATTGCACGTTTACCTGGAGCCTTTAGTATTTTCGTTTGAAGTCCTTGTTTCCCTCGTTTTGAAAACGGAATATTTCAGTGCTGATGAAATTATATGAGGTTAACAAAATTAATTAGAAGAAATGGATTCAGAGTCACCGGTCCGAACAATGCATGAAGTACTTGAGCGTGTGAACTCTTCTTTGTGGCAGCTTGCTAAGAACGGTGGTGTTGAAGATGAACTCGGAAGAAACAACATCACGGTTTTTGCCAGCTCTGGAAACGATAGCCCGGTTTGGACACTGCAATATTACACCACTGACATAGAACCAAATTGATTATATCCATTATAGATTTTTCCATTATAGATTTATTGCGAAATACCTAGTGAAATATTGAATTGAATATAAAAATGAAACGAAAATTGAAGCAGGTATTAAAATATGAAGAATGAAAACAAGCATCCCTTTGTAGCCAGATGACGCCAGATCATACGTGATCAACCGAATTGTGCCAGGAATACATCGAGCCTATGACTGGACAGACGGGACAGTGCTGAAGACGACTGGAGGTGGAGACCTCATCATTTCTCAGTCGCAAGACGTATTCGGATCCGTTGTGAGATCATCTTTTTCAAATTCAGTCGATTTTTTTGTCATGGCTTGTGAAACTGTACTGAGCGAGAATGGTGTCGGTAAGACGTTGTAAAAAAAAGGCTTCTGAATATGAAAGCTGACCGCGTCCTTTCCTTCGACAACTTTTCAAAAAATAGGGATCCTAGAGTTTCTACAGTTTTTATTCTGTTATATACCTCTGAACTTAATGATTTGTTCGTAAGCAAAATTAATAACGCCTGGAAAGCGTCATATTTCCGAACTCTTTCCTTTTTAACTAGAAAACCTACTTGATATTTGATACTTGAACGGCCCGTCCTCACTGCTTGTGTGGGCCCCGGCATGATCTCTACTTTTCGGAGATTTGCTGGTTAAGCCATTGTGGTTCCCTGGAATTCCGAGGTCATACTGGCCAAAGTCTGCTCCCGGTCTTCACCACCACAGGCAGTCGCAACCCTTGTTGATTAAAAGGAGGTTTGCCACTATGCGACTAGTTTGATACCAGGGCAGTGGTGGATCCTCGTATTGGTTTACTCTTAGCTAGACTTCCTTATGGAAACACCGGACTCCTTCTCAGTTTGGGAGACCCTGCCAGTGGGATGAATCCTCCTCACTGTACATCGCAGTCCGATACGTGAGGACACCTCCCAGCCACGATGGGGCGGTAAACCATTGTGAGGCCATTAACTTATTTTAAATAAAAACTGTCTGCAGATCAATGTTTACTTTTTCTTTTCTGTCTTCTATGATTTTTACGGCAGGGTATTAAGCGAAATACAACCACGAGATTGCTGAGATACTTGTAGTTAGCTAGGTAGAGATAGCTGAAAGACAGGCGAACCGAAGGACCCGCATGGTGTGCTGGTGAAAGCGTTACTCCCCGAAAAGGGCAATAGTGCGTTCGTTTCCCACCTCAGAGGTTGTCTGCAAATCTTTGCCGACAGGATGCTAATTTGCCAATATGCTACAGTAAAATTTGGAATTGCTTAGTCTATTAAACGTACTTTTTAAATTCTTTGTTTGAGTCCTTTGCATATTTTGAAAAGAAAAATAGCTGAACAAGCGGAATTCCGTACAGGAGTATAAGCCGGTGTCCTCGAAAATCTTGTCTAGTTTCTATCTTGTATCTTGTCTAGTTTGGGGAGGGTGTATTTGCGTTGAAATCTCAAAAAATCCCAATTTCGGCTTCAGCTTGTCGAAAATTTGAATTTTAAACCAAATTGAAAGTTAAAAGAGCGTTCTGGAGAAGTCGTGTATAGCAATAGGTTAAAGTCTATTCTATCAGGCTGTCATGTTCAGAATGTCCTAGGTGTTCTAGTTATCGGATAATTATCGCTAACTGTAAGAATACTAGCATTAGGCTGTATATGTTAGTCGAACCAGATCTGAGAAATAAAAAAAGAAATAAAAATAAAAAATAACTGAAATGAACGTTTAGAAAAGTGTTTCAGAGGACCTTCGTGAATTGCGTGCCACTGAACTCGTCCAGTGATCGCGCTCAAAACGGCCTCGTGCACGTGGTCGACGGCGATTTGAGGCCAGCTAATGACACGCTGTTGTCTACCCTTGACAAAGATCCCCGTTTCTCTTATTTTTACAAATGTACGTAGAAAAATTATCCTTTGAAGAGAAACCTTGCACTGCTGTTACGTTTGACACAGTAATTAGCCTAGCACAGTACTCGCATACTGCTTTAGCTTCAACAGCATTATTCTTCCTGTTCATTAGTGGTTATAGTCCCTGTCATAAACTTCCTGCGAAAGGTTTTCGCTCATTGTCTAACATATCGGTTAAAATTTTACATATTTGATATCTTATCAATTAGATCCTAACTTTATATTTAATGTTCTAATAATCTAGGATACAAATAGCACAGTGGTAGTGATGTCCGTTACCACGAGTATGGTGCTAGTACGATTCCGCTTCGAGCCAACCAAGCCTCTCATCCTTCCGGTGTCGGGGATTGGTACCGGACTTGTCTGGAAGAAAATCACTCTCTGCAATCCAATTTGAAACGCTGCAGCCTGGGTATCTCAGGACTCCAGGGATAATTGCTCGACCAGCATTCTACGACATTCAAAATGAAACGAAAATCCTCAAGCAGCAACCGAAGCCACACGTAAGAGTTAGAAGATCATCGTGGACAATGGATACGAGGAGGCGAATCAAATTTGAAAGGTGCTGGGATCCGTGAATACGGATCTAATAAAATGAAATAAATAAAAATAGTCTATTTACTAAGTTCAGTCATATTATCTCTAGTGGCTAAACTCTCTACGTTTGCTGATCCTAAAATATCTTTAGAAAGAAAACGACTTATATCCCACAGTACTCCGGCGCTCATTATAACATCAGTGCTTCACTGCATAACCCTCAAAAGTCTCTGAGCTAGAAGTCCAAATGTAAAGAAATGTTGGATGAATTCCAGTGCTCTCTGATAGGCTGTCCAAATTGTTAGCAGAGAACAAGAATTTCACTGTCTTCGTTCCATCCGAAAAAGTGTTTTCTTCATTGTCGGACTCACTTCTCAAAGACATCAAGGCCGGTCAAGGTTGTACATCAAGTAAGCTTATTAAATTTATTATTTAATAAGCATCAAGGCTTATCCACAAAAGAATGGTCACCAGCGAGAGCGTTCATTGTCGTTTGCTTTTTAAGATAAGATTTTTGAGAATTGAGGTTTCGCTCCAAGTCACATTGTGGAGGGTTCAATCTGTTCGTCCGAGTTGTCGCATCATCGACTAAAATCACTTGCTGGTAGTGAAATCGACGTCCGTACTCAGGTGCGATAAAGTTGCAATTTTTCATCGCTTTTCTCCTTCAGTGTCATAATTTTAGCAATTAGAGTCCGACGTTTAAATCCACTTAGTTACCACATTTAACACCTACTCTTTCGTCGCGATCCTGTCGATATCAACTCATGTCAGCACAATTTCCCCTTCTCCGGGCGTTACAAGTGAGCGCGCAGTTTTTGCTCTAGGCTTCTTTCTATAATTTAGTATTTAGATGTATTTTACTAGTAATTTCGTTGTTTCTGTTGAACTCAGGCGCAGTTACCCTCTTCATGTTTGAGTGGAAATTCACTAACGTTAGACTCGAAATTTTAAGGGAAGGGATGACGCTAACTTCCACTTTTCATATTTATCAACCGTTTGGAGCACAAAACATAGGGTGCAACATACTCAAAGATGTTCGTTAATGGTGAGAGGTACGAGAGAGGGGTGGGGGGGGTGTAAAGTTTGCTATGTTTATTCACAATCATCACTTATAGTGAGGGCACTTTATAATGGAGAGACGAATTTCTTTTGCGTTTTATGTGTGACAGAATGTTCATCATGATAGCAGCTATTTGTCTAAAAAAAAATATATGCCCTTTTCCTCTTCCCTAAATTACCCAAAATTTCCAAGTTGTTTTCGTTTTTAAAATTGCGAGACACACAAACTGCAGAGACATTTCTCAAAGCCCACACAATTTTCTCACTATAGCGAACGACAATGGAAACCTCATAAGTAATTTGGGAACGGTTTATGGTTTTAATAAAAATACTCTTAGGTTTCTCATGAAGTGTAGAAGTAACGAAATTACTTTGACACAACTTGTTTGAATGCCTCTCTTGGTCTCTCCACTAGATATCTCTACACCTGTCGTGTAGTGTTTCTTCCAAGTGGTCTGATTCAAATAGTATTCCATGTTATGAGACAAAAATGGAAGACTTAATTATCTATGCTGCTTTCTCCATCGAATTCCAGGAAGAAGTGTTTCAGGTCAAAAATGGTAAACGAGCGACTTATGTTGGACGAGCACGACTCGTCGGCGGCGACGTATATACGAGAAACGGTGTCGTGCATATCATCGACGACATACTCGTCAACGACGAATGTACATCATTAGAAGAGGAATTTTTCCTATGATGAATCTCGCAGATAGTTTTCAGTTCTGTCGTGGAAGGAACACCTAGAGATATACAATCCACATCTCAGCGATGCTCTGAGTGGTGTTGTGAAGGACACCGCTAAACTAATCACGATATTCGTACCACCTGTCAGCAACAAAACAGTAATCTTTCCAGTGTCTTACTTAAAACGAGTGGTAGGACTAGGAAAAACTAGAAATTCTATTGAAAGCTGAAAGTCGTTTATGAAAGATGCTGGTTCCATAGACATGAATGTTTCACATGAAGCTTTTGCGTGTTCACTATTCTCGCAAATTGATCAATACGCACCTTTTGTATAGGGTCGAATCTTAGCACGTTCATGTGCGTCTGGAATGAGGGACGTCTGGAAAATAGCTTAAACACTAGGAAAGGTTTTCGCATCACATCGTTTTTATGATAAAGATTGCAGACTATACACAATGATGTTTCTTCATTATTGTTACTGCAGATATCACCTGAAATTGCGAAGAATCACATCGTGTCTGGTGATGTTCTGGAGGATTTCCGACGTCCATCGAGTATTGAAACCGACGCGAAATCCGAGGTCAGTAACACATAGGGTTGACCTCAAGGATTGAAACACCTCTGGAATGCTTTCTAAGAACTTGGAAAATTCACAGTTTTTCTTTGTTGTTCGTGTATCTACTTTGTAGATGTTCACTGGATATTCACCTCGTACATCACCAATCTGGGTCCGATTTTCCATGGGGCGTTTTCAACGGCAGCTAGGTCAACTAGGATGTACGAGAATTATTCGCGATAGTGTTAGAGGATGTCAGTCGATTTTACACTTCATTGAAAAGGTAGGAAATATTTCCTGCGTTATTTAAAATTTAAATTAGAAATTAGATCGCTGTACTCGTTTGCAAAGGATCCTCCTAAGCAAAGAGTAAATCTGTTAAAATAAAAATGCGTGAAAGTAGTGAAATACACATTTTTTTCGTTCTTGTCAATCAGTAGGTCCATAGAATAACTGCAAGGATCGCTGACATCCTTCAAGGAACCTAGTCACAAGTCAACATGTGATATCAATCTGATCGCCTGAAGTTTGCGGCAGTCTCTGGCGAAAACATGGAAACATCTTAGCTGTCTCAGATTTCCCGGAGGAACCATGCTGCCTTAGCATACAAGATCTCAAGTATACTCAAACCACAACTCCACATACGAACTAGACTTTGTCTATATGAACGCCGATTGCGACCCAACGAAAAGACTCGAAGAACTGCTGTGGTTCCTACAACATATGAAGATCGATCATCTAAGTATTTTGTCACTGTACTCACTAAATAAAGAACGCATTAAAAAACCTCTCGGCATTCATCAATCCCTGAGGGGTGTGCCCTGCATTCGACTTCATTAGGCATCGTGTAGAGGTGATTGAATGCATGTCTGCCCTTTATAATGGCTCACGGTGAACTATTAATGTATCGAGACAGTGCTGCTATCCTCCCAGACAAGTACCAATTTGGGACCACGGAGGGATGGAAGGCTTAGTGGGTCAGATGCGTGGGGATCGATCCCATGTGTATTGCAGGGTGCCTCCGACCACTACACCACCCGCCCTTTAGAAAAGAATCTCTTAATAAACAAAAGATGGCACACCTGTCGTACTTTAGGTGCCATTTGACCGTGGTCTGCTTAGAGAAAATGCAGGTTGTTATGCTACACTTAACATTTTAGCACATTAAGAACCAGCTCAACGCACTGATAACTTTGATCTCAGTGGGATTTTTCAACGAGCTCTATTATTCATTATGTTTATTTTCATTGTCCTTTTATTTTTTTAACTCCTCAAATGTAAGAGAAAATCATTTGCATTTAATTCTGGAGAACTCCCATAACATTTTCCATCTGTAAGAGGATCGAACTAAATTTTCGTTCTTACAGTAACTCAAGCACAATAAAAACTTGTAACGCTTGGAACTTACTGGGAGAAACAGTTGTAACTTTCGGCTTCAAGTAACCTTTTGAGTGTGGAAAAAATCTCTTCTAAATCTTTTTCGTGTCTGTCTTTCTCCAAATTTTAAGAATTCTTTCTTTCCCTTTCTTTTTTTCTTTCTCCAAATTCCTTTATCCAAATTTTATGAATTTTTTGTGTTATATATTGCACCGAATCTTTAGTGGATTGCTACAAATCCTTTTCAGCTCATCTCTGAGAAGTTTCTAAATGTAATCATTTCCGTTAACCTCTTTTCGCTGTTACTCGACATTGTTAACATTACGAGTAGAGATAAGGTGCCTCTCTCAAAACGACAATAGTTTCCAGTTAATGGTCATTTAACTACTGTTATGTAACAATATATAGAGATAATCTCGGTTGTTCCAACGCTAAGAGTTAGCCTGTAGAGCAGTGGTTAGAGGTGCCTTGTAGTACCTCCAGAGTCGCTCGCTTGCTCGATCACGTTACCTGGGTGACCAACTAAGTCACCCATCCGGTGTCTAAAAATTGTTACCAGATTTGTCTATGACAGGATGATAAAAGCAATAACTTGATATATAGGTTATAAATACATTGCAAGTTTTTGGGTAAACCGAAATGTATATTCAGTCGCCTCCACGATGACATGAAGAGATTTGCATGCATTGCGCATCTTTCGAGGATCGATCAACGCCAGACATTTCATCTCTTTATTCATTTCTTTATAGTGACATCTCAGTATGCAACTTATCAAGGTCGGGTTGCTACTCTGAATGAGTAGTCTCTTGTGACTATTTTAATGTGTTTCGGACAAGTGCATTAACCGGCAGTTGACTCATTCAATAATAAAACGCACTGTTTTTTAAGTACTGATTTCGTAACAGTTATACGAAATTGGAAGGAACAACCGGTTGCTGGAAATCGTTCTCATCAATGGCTGCCGTTTGAGACAAACATGGTAAAAAGCATTAGTGAATGAGAGGACAGATAAAGGTTGGGTCGTATTTTACGGTTCAGTACGAGGACAGTGGGGCTTGTCATATTCACTCCTCATATGGTGTCCTAGTTTAATTAAAGGTATGCCGTGTTTTAAAGCTAAGGACTTTCTAAGGAATCAACCTATGCTGGTAAATGAGGGATTAGCCAACGTCCAGTACTATTAGTTAGGTAGTAGAATGTTCATCTAGGCAAGAAAAGACCAGCTGGAACGTACTCAATAAAAATATCCTCCGAATTCGCTGAACAACTAGGTCACGAAGCCAACTATTACAGGGAGCAATGTCAGTTCTAAGAATGTCTGTACTTGTTACCACCGCTCAATTTTGAGGACGCACAAGCTTAGATTTGAGGGAATGACTCTATAAATGTGACAGGTTGAGAAAAAGGGACAAAATTACAAGGTTAAATGTATGGATGTATACGAATCAGAATGTAGCCAGATGGAAATACCTTGGTTGGTTTTATTTGCTAAAGAAAAGGCTTGAACCCAACCCATGAGGGTACGATCGCCAGAATCAATGCCGATTCTCTAGACAACCAGCTATTTTCATGGCTATTGAAAGGATCGGATTAGAACTTGTTGATGAATCTTTGTACCGTTTTTCTGGAAAGAACTAACATATTTTTGAGTAATAGGAAGCACCCATTAACATTCATGGCATTGTCAGCCTTGTTGTCTTTTTTAAAAAGAAGTTAGTTTAACCCACTCGCCCCCATCTCTGTGTATGCTATCGTGCCCTGCGCTGACACGCCGGTTCTTAGGCAGGCCGCTGGATAAACAAAGTCCCATGATATTTGTTGTGTTGTGTTGTGTTGTGGCAGTAGCACTTTTGTTCAAAAACCAATGCCAACGTACTTCATAACTGTACTGAATTGTTTGTTTGTGGCGTCCTCAACAGGTATATTCGCCATTTTAAGAGTATTTAAGCAAGCACTTTACTGATTCACCAATGGCTGTCTGAGAGCACCAACTCTGGTTCATAGCTAGCTATTTATTTACTTTTTATTCAAATTTTATACGGCCCGTCTTCACGTCTACTGTGTGGATCCCAACACTTCTCAAATTCCATTGGTCTCCTTGCATCCATTATCCACTAAGATCATCCCACTTTTACGTATGGCTTTGACTGCTGCTTTGGGATTTTCATTTCATCATGAATGTGGTAGAATGCTGGTTGAGCTGATTCTTTCTGGAGTGTTGAGATACCCGGCCTGGGGCCTGGATTGTTTTCGGTTGGACTGCAGTGAGTGAGTGCTTTTTTCCCGGACAGGTCAGGCACCAATTTCCCAACGCATGTTGGATAATAGACTTACTGAGCCTCGGGAGGGATTGAACCAGCACTGTGCTTATGATGATTGGCACCACTACCGCTGTACTATCCGCTCCCTCCATAAGTAACCATGCCACTCTTATTACATGATGAGATAGCCTAGCGACTCCTCCAACTTCCATAGCAGGAAATGCAATTTCGCTAGATTCGCCGCAACGTGACCTCAATTGGTGCCGCAAGAGGCGAAAATAACAAGTGTTTCTAACTTTAAGCCAACGTATTTCATTCGTCATTAAATCTTGATGATCGAACTAAAACTACTGGAATCCACAGCTCTTTGCCTACGAAAAGCATATTCTGTTGTTCTACTGCGATGAAATTCTAATTTTCTGGAGCTCACATATTTGACCTGTTCTACAATTTCTTGCATTAAAGCACACGTTTCGACCACGGAGTGGAATGAACAGGCGCGGTTTCATTCACCTGGACATAGTGGTGTTCCTCAATATAAAATTTTTATGTTATAAGGTGTAAGTGTGATTAGTGTCGTCGTATAATTCTCGCGACGAATAGTGCTGCATTCAACAACCTATGTGGATACAGGTTCAAGGTCCTAAATTTCTAATGGATGAATAACATTCCTAAAAACGAATTAAAATTTCGTTGATTGCTGATTGCTGATGGCACCTATAGGTCAATAAAACGGCTGAGAGACAGGCGAAACGAAGGACCCGGATGGTGTGGTAGTGAGCGCGTTAGCCTCAGAAAGGGTAATAGCGCATTGGTTCCCCACCACGGCACGTACGGTCCGGAGTTTTGCAAATATCTCAGTAACATTGTGGTTACAAATTAAACTGTCTGAAAATCATTTAGTGGAAGATCTATTTTTAGCCCCTACCACTGATAACTGACAATTTCGACACATTCTTGGGAAAAAGAAAAGACTTGAGCAAATTCTACAGGTATTTTACGAAATTTCATGAAGGAATTCTGGGACAGTTTAAGGAATTGTTTGCTTTCCAGTTTATGGAAGACAAGCTCCGTGAACGGTTCACTAACGTCCAAAGAGCCAATTACCGTGTTCATTCCGTCCGATGATGCGTTTTCAAACAACGAGTTCAAGAAACTTCTTGATAATTCGAAATTATCTGATATTTTTGTGAAGAGATATATTGTGAGCGGTAAGTAGCTGGAATGGAGTGAACAAGGGTCATTTTGACCAACTTGAACGGACGAATGTTGTTCTCCATCTACATTGGAGAGACCCGAGAGTGAGGAGAATTCGACGAATAATTTTAGAGCCATTATGCGAATCCGACATTCATCCTCATCCTGCTGAGATTCGAATCCAGCCTCATGCAAATTTGAATGGAGAGCCACTCAGACTTCGGAAGTTTGGTGACGATACGTTCGTAGATGGAGCCAAGATCGAGGTAGTAAAGTTATCTGTGAAAAAATTGTGTACAATAGAGAACAGTTGGTATTTAAGGAATCCGAGATCGTGCTAAGTAATGGAGTCGCATATGTGGTGGATTCAACCATTTTCAGAAAATACTTCTCCACACAGCCAGATATCAGTCGTCGTGCGGATGGCGTTAACTTTTTTGATATTATTTCCTAAATCTGAACACTTGGTTATGGATAAAAAACGATGTTTACCGTTTGACCAGCAAAGACGATGTTGTTATTATAGCACTTATTCATTCGCAATAGTTGACGCTTCGGCGGTTTCTTCAAAGCTTAGAATGCTCAAACTGACATCCAATCCATTGAGTCAAGCACTTTCATAACCACAGCATAAAGAACTTGATCCATAAATTTAATATGAGTATGAATGATTCGTTAATAAATTTGATATGAACGAATATTGATATAAATGAATATTTCCGTTGCTACCCTAGCCCACAGTACGTTGCCATAAAAGGTAAAGGCAGTAAATAAAAAGTTATTAAAGTTAAAATTAGTTACTTACTTTAAGCTACTTGCTTCTATAATATTTGCGTTGGGGTCTTACTAACTTACTTACTAATTTGGACTGCCGCCTCAGATTAACTGGGTGCAATACCGATTTGTGCTCCTCAGATCATTTCCGTTGATGGATGATTACTAACAGCACCATTAGGATATAAAACTGGCCAAGAGAAAGGCAAAACAAGAGCATAGCATAGTGCGGCATAAAACATGGAAAGAGTGATCGTGTGTTTGAATCTCATCTGGGACCGCAGTTTTCCAAATATCTTAGCACCTTAAGATCTGGTCTTTTTGAGTTGATGCGAGTTTACTACAAGTTGTCGTTGTTGTTGTTTTTTGTCGCTGTCATTGTTCTTGTTGTTGGTCGTTGGCCGATGTTTTGGCGATTTCACCTTCCTCGGAGCCGTGCTGTTACGAGCGGGACTCATAAGAACATATAAATAAATATATCGACTATATATGTCAAGGTTTATGGTAAGTCGGTCTTTTGCATGCATCAGTTATCTTAGCATCATCGTGGTTATATTTCACGTATTACCCTACCTTGTAAGAATGGCAGTGAATGAATGAAAAGTGAAACATTGTATTTTCGTTGATATCGTGTAGGTGGTTGCCCATGTGATCTTCGGTTGATCCTCTAGTTAGTAGCCGCTGCAGCCTATAAGCCTTCGGGGTGTGCTTATGCATCTGGTCTTTGGTTTGTTGTTGACTAGATGGTCGCGACTGCTGGCAGAGAGACGACCAATGATCAAGCTTCGCTCACAAACAACATTGGCCGTATAAAGGATGCTGCCCGTGAGCAGTGCTGACGGGTGGAGTTTCCTGGTGCCAGATTCCTCTTCATCGCTCACGCCAGTGCTGAACATTTGCTATGTTCTTGTGTTTTTCATTTAGTTCTTCTCTTTTTCTCACCTTATCCATTTCACAATCAGTTTCTCCCCTTTATCGTCTGATATCATAATTGTCAACAACTGTTCCGTTTTCACTAGATGTTAAAGCTTATATACACTCCATTACAGCTACATCGCTATCTAAAGCCGAGAAGAATGAGCCACAATGTAAGATTTCTATTGCACATAAAATGTAGGATTCCGTGTAGCATTTATATTTACGGAATTTAGTGTCCAGTGGAAGAATCAAACAAGAAAATCCACGAAATCGCCGAGACAGCAAAGGACAAAGTCTGTGAAGGCGGAAAAGCTGTAAAAGAGGCAGCCGAGTCGGGTGTCAAAAAGGTGAATTTTACCTTAACGTTTTTTATTTACTGACTATTCTTTTTAACGGCAGAGTATGTTGCGAAATATAACTTCTATAATGCTGAGATATTTGCAAAACTCCAGACCGCAGGTGTCTGCGGTGGGGAACAAACGCGCTATTGTGCCATCCGGGGAGTAACGCGTTCACCATCACATCATGCGGGTCCTTCGTTTCACCTGTCTCTCAGCTAGTTTTTTCGAATTTTATATTTTAAAATGCGAGTTTCGTCTATTTTCTTCTAGTTCAATGTTATGAGATCCATGCAGAGGGCTGTAATATCCGATGGAAAATCAACATCAAGGCCTTAGTTCCATAGAGTGACACGTTGGCTAGAGTTTTTGTAGTGAAGAGACCTAAATGCAGGGGTTGCAGTTACGTGGCAGTAGTTTCCTAACTTTATATTCATTCAACTCGAGTAATCCAATATGAATATAGTATGCTAGTTTTAAGCGCTCTTTTCCGAGAGCAGTGAGTGTATGGTTCACTCTGCATGATGATTGTTAGTGTAGAGTTCTTGAATCGAAATGATTAAGTTCTTTATCTTCTTGCTTTCAGATTCAGGAAACTGGGAAAAGTGCCTATGATGCCACCGCCGAGAAGGTATCACGATTTCGATTTTCTTTCATCTCCATTTTCCTATAGGAATATTTCGACTTTTTTTGTAGCTTGGCGAGGCACGAGACTATATTGGTGATAAGCTGCACGGAGGTGCTGACGCTGTGAAGGGAAAGTAGAAGGATTTCACCATGTGAAAGAAGACATTTTCCAATCAGTAATGAGACCATTCGTCATTATTAAAAGTATTCCACGTGTGACATTTTGCAAATATTAATCTACATGCTATAGCTTCACGTAGTTCGGAATGTGTTTATAAATTTGTGCCAATAAATTTTTTAACATATTGTGGTGGAAATACATACCCAGTTCACGGTGCTTCTGGCATGACTCATTCATGTGTGAGCTCATTTTCTTTTCAACACACTCCGTCGAGCGTCGACAGAAGGGATCCTCATTCTAAATAGCAGAAAATCCTAATTACAAGCGGGCCTGTTTGTTTGGCTTGAGTGTCATTTGCATTATCGCATCGATTGCGCGCTTACCAATGAGGGTAAGCGAGCAACAGCAGCGCTCTGCGCGCCTGGTCTCTTCCCGCCCCGTCAGGTGACTGCTGAATGTCCCGACACACACTATAATGGGAAGGAGGCGGTGCCAAGGACGTGGCGTGACGCTTGCTTGGAACAAGCTTTGTGCAGTCGGCTCATCACCTTATTTAATTGGAGCATGCTTATTTGTTATGAATGGGTACAAACCGACCGTCATTTAACCTTGGTAGCAAAATAATCAACATGCTTTTAAATTACTGAGCTTACACGAGGTTCATGAACTGGTTTATTCGGCTGTTTCGCTGTCTTCGTCTTCATCAGAGCCGATAATCCGAGTCGATAAATAAAAACAATAAATATTTTAACATATTGTGGTGGAAATACACGAGATGCGAAAGAGCATCGCTCTTATAAACTGCTAGCCAAAAACAGGAAGGGTAAGTACTGAAATGGCCTCGAACTAGAGAAAACTTTAGTAAGAAGGAGTGAACGAAAGGTGCATAGGACGCTAAAAGTAGGGAAGTTTTAAGAAATAATTTTTTAAAATGGCTAGAAAAGCGATACAATTACCACAGCTATGGAGATGACTCTCAGTGAGTCACCCGCGGTTGCATTAACATCAAACCTCGGAGTTTTCTACCGGTTAGAAGTCGAATGACCGCGACAAAAGTGGGAGACAGTCGTCCAGAAAGTCGAGAAACTTACCGTTGAATAGTATCTGCATCCTTTAATAAATCTCCGTCCCGAAAATTCATGTGATTTCCGTAATAGCGCTTCTTTAAATGGTGGATAGCACAGTGGTAATCATCACGGACGTGGTGCTATGGCGATTCCGCGCCTAGCCAACCAAGTCTCTCATCTCTCCGAGGTCGGGGATTGGTAGCGGGCTTGTCTGGAAGAAAATCACTCTCTGCAATCCAGTTGGAAACGCTGCAGCCCGGCTATCTCGAGACTCCAGGGAGAAATACTCGGCCAGCATTTTACGGCATTCAAGATGAAGTGAAAATCCTCAAACAGCAACACGTAAAGTTGGAAGATCTTCGTGGACAATGGATACGAGGAAAACAACGGAATGCAAGAAGTGCTGAGATCCGCACAGTAGATGTGAAGATGGGTCGTATATAAAACAAAAAGAATAATCCTTCCTTTCAGTTCTATAGTAACCTGTGCATTTACTTCTCACATATCGTAAGCAGAAGAAAAAAATCGAATCCGAAGTTAGTTCAAAGATAGTTTGCTTAGGAAGCCTCCTAGGGAAAAGCTACAGATTACTGAAGATATTCGAACATGGCTTAAATAACACCTCACTAATGTCGAAACGAGTCGTACGAGTCGTCGAACTCTAGGAAATCTAGGAGTTTTTGGTGCGAGTGGTGCAGACCAAGGATGCCTCCAGTGTTGTGAACCTCTTAAAATCTTCTCAAGAATGTTAGGACACCTTGCTATTGAAATTCTGGTCATAAAAATAGTTTTAGAGCTTGGAGATGCATCGTTATCGCGCATTGCGCTGTATGCGTATGCATCAATGCATGCGTGTAGGGTAGAGCAGATCGCAAGTGCTAACATCAGTGCATATAATTTTCGGCTGCTTCTATGCAGCAAAAGAGTTTTTTGTTTGCCGTATTTTTTGTACTAAACGGATACCTTATTTCACAGAGTTGTGCTAGAAGTGGTCCATGGAACGCTATTCTCTACACTTAATGATATACAAGGAACTCTCCTTGAACAAATTTTCCAGTATACATCGCGTTTGCCCGAAAAATGGGCTTGGTACTTATCCCTTCGACGAGTGATTGCTAATGGCACTGGAAGATAGTAAACTAGCCAAGAGAAAGGCGAAGCGAGAGGCACGCATGGTGTGGTGGTGAACGCGTTACTCCTCGGAAAGGACAATAGTGCGTTCGTTCCCCACCGTAGACACCTGCGATCCGGAGTTTTTCAAAAACCTCAGCACCAATGTGGTTGTATCGCACGTAATATCCTGCCGTAGAAAATTTTAAGGCGCAGGAAGGTTACGTAGCTTTAGTGCTCTCTCATTAGTTTAATGTCTTGAATTTTTGCTAGTTTCCAGTTTGGTGCCTTACAGTAGCCTCATCGTTTTCTCTTACAAAACTTCATTGATTCTAATGAAGATACCTCGACCAGGGAACTTTGACCAGTCATTAAAAGACCACGCACATGTGCGAGGTAGCCAAAGCTACGTTAGAATAAAAGATGCCAAGAACAAGCAGATTTCATAATTAAGTCAACTCACCTAATATTTAATTTAAATACTTTTGAAACGGTGCAGTGGTCTGAGACGCCCTGCAACACACACACACACACACACACACACACACACGCACACACACACACACACACGTGGAATCGATCCCCGCTCTCATGGCCCAACAGCATTCTATAGCCTCCAAACGGTGCTTGACGAAATCGAATGCATGGTGTATTCCTCAGGGATTGATCAACGCCGGGTGGTCCATCCTTTTTTTATCTGTGGAATGATTTTCATGCAGATCGCATCGGTGTTATTCAAAGTCCTCGATTCGTGGATGACATAGCATCATTCCCATGAAGTAGAAACAGTGCAAAGAGGAATAAAGAGAAATTAGCACAGTGTGCAAGATTTTCCTCTACGGAGAACTGCTTGTAAGACAAATTACAAGGAAAAGATACCTAAATGCTTAAATAGGCCATGTTTGCATGGCCGATCTGACAGCAATACGTCTTCAGTTCAATCTATAGTACAACGGTACAGCGTTATGTGAATTTATCGTCTTCCCTCCTTATGAATATCATGACCGCCAACTGAACGTGACCATTTTTGGAACCCCTAGAAAGCCGTTTTACCTCGTTCATCGCAGGTGCACGCAACGCGCCGTGGATTGCTGTTTTGCAACTGCAACTCACCGAGAGAACGGCCTCGATCTCCGTGATTAATCCATTGACCAATCAAGGATAGAACACTCTTAGAGGCAACTGGTATGAAAGTAGGACTCAAATGTAAACTCTGCTGTCCTGAAAACTACCAGTCGGGTTCTGTCTAGAAACACTCCTATCCAAAGCCTTTGAACAGCTCACAGTGGCTCTCGCATAAGTCATTCACACGTGAGCTCATTTTACTTTCAACACACTCACTCTGTTTACCGTCGACAGAAAGGGTCTACTACCCATAGCAAATGATTTGCAGAAAATCCACTTTGCAAACGAGCTTGTTTGTCTGGTTCAAATGTCGATAGCAACACCGCATCGAATGTTGGTGATGAAGGGGAGAGAACAAGAGAATTACTCTGCGTGCCCGGTCCCTCCCTGTCCGGTCAGGTGACTGCGGAACGTCCTGACACGCTATTGGAAAGGAGGCGGTGCCAAGGACGTGGGGTGGTGATTGGAAAACATTTTGTACGATTGGGTCATCACTTTATTGAATTGGAGCATGTCTATGTGTTTACGACCCATGTGTATACTAACTGACTGGGGAAGGTTCGTTCAGTAAATCGGATTTCAATTGTCAAACTGACCGTCATTTAGCCTCGGTAGCAAAATAATCAACATGCACTTAAATTACTGAGCTTACACGAGGTTGAGAAACAGATTTTCTCGGCTAACTTTTCGACATCGTCGTATTCATCAGAGCCAATGAATCGATGATCTGAGTCGATGGTCCACAGCTATTCATCCTCTCGATATAGTGTCTTCATAGTCGTACCGAGATAGTTCACCGAAAGAAGCAACCACCTTGTTTAGAGAGAATTATCGGGTGATCGTGCCTCATTCGCGCGGTGTTCCACTGAAGAAGATCCGTCTCGGTACGACTACGAAGACGCCACATCGAGAAGACGAACAGCAGTGGACCATCGACTCGGATCGTGGGCTCTGATGTATACGAAGACGTTGGAACGTTAGCCCAATATACATCTCTGTTGACCTCTTGTAAAAGGATAAGGGATAAAGCTCTCGGCGTTGATCAATCCCTGAGGGATGCTCCATGCATTCGACTTCATTAAGTATCGGTGATTGAATGCATATCTGACCTTTACAGTGACTCGCGGTGGCCTACCGATCTATCGAGCCAGTGCTGCTATCCTCCCAGATAAGTCTGGTACCAATTTGCCCACACTGGAAGAATGGAAGACTTGGTGGGCCATGGGCACAGGGTTCGATTCCACGTGTGTGTCGCAGTGGCGCCTCCAACCACTGCGTCACATATGCCCTTTTAACCACGTGTAAGCTCTACAATTTAAAAAGTCAGATTTGTTCGCTATAGCAAAATTTCAATTAAAATAAACCCTGTGTTTGTTTCGGGTTTTCATCTAGAGGCTTTTCAAAACAGGATATATTTCACTCTGTTTCATATGAGATCATGAGGCTTTCGCATTCGGAAGACTTTCTTCAAAGTCATATACCAGTGAGGAAGGAGAATACTGGGTGTGCTGTATGAGTCCACTGGCGACCAATTACCATTTGTATTAACAGAGAAGTCGGCTCGAAGAGAGAGAAGCAAATGCAGTGCTCGAAATGGAAATGCCTAACGATATTACACACATAGTGAGTGATTCGACCACTCCCGGACCAAGGTTTTCATGCAGCTGGGATTGGCAAATTGTGTTAGTCTTATCCGAAAATCCTTTTTCATCTAC